AAGAGACCGACCGAGACTGCCGGATCTTCGCGGTGACGCAGAACCACAGTGTTCCTCCGTTGAGTATCTTGTCCATCACAGAATCAGTGCGCCTGTAGTCGCAATGGCGGTGCCCCCTGTGTCTCAAGCTACATGTACGCAGTTGCTTTGGTTCACAGGTCGCGCAGTGCGTAGCAGGCTGACTATGCGTGTAGCGAGTACAAACTTTGAATACTAGCCAGCGATTCCATGCCGTGTCTCACATTCGCAATGCGGTGGCCTATGGGTATCATCCCTTAATGGGAGCCAAGGACGGGGCATATTACGACCCCGAGAAGACGGATAACAGCCATGCCTCGAACACGAACGATCCTCCTAGCGTCGGCGTGGGGCTCTTGGGCCCTTGATGGCCCTATACCAGTGTTAAAGGGCTAACTGGGGTTACCAGCGCACCGATCGCACACCATGTCGCACTGGTTGAGGGAGGTCTTCACGGATGGCGTGTGCAGATATGCAGCCCTGAACTTGGCCGGTCGTGGGCACGTAGAAATGAGCCACAGAGCCGACATTTGTACTGGTACTTCGGCCTTCGTGCGGGAGACACTCGCCACAATGCGGAGGGGTTTGGGGGGGCCACAAGCACAAGAAGGGAGGGGTTCATCGTGGCTTGACTGGACTGACTACAGTGACTTATGCTGGCGCAACGTCCAGTGGCGTCCCGATGCGGATATACAACTGCCGATCACCCTCACACAGGCGTCATCCCGCACAGCACCAACATATCACCGTCGCATCATGAGATGTGGTCACAAGATGAGAGGACGGCTAGGGAGCGAGATCACAGGCCGTTCGCTTCGTGCTGGCCGCTACGCGAGAAGACGATCATCACGCTCTCCGAGGTCCAGAACCTCCAACTGACATGGCCTTACGTGACACATGTGCGACTGTTTTCGGTCGTACTGGGCACTAGGCCAGTAGCGGCGAGCCGGAGCCTCACCGTTCATGATCATCCTCGGGCCTGGAGAGGCACAGCCACGCGTAACTTCCAGGGGAACAAGCCAATAGAAGTCGCGAAGTCACTATTTTCAGCTCTTCAGGGGCCCCGTCAGTTACATTGGCGTAGCATGGCGCCATGACAGATGGCGACGTACGAAACGTTGGGTTTCTTCGCCACAGCAGACGACGATCCTCGCACCTGATGTGGCTCACGCACCTCGCCACATGTCGGATCGAGACGATGGGAGAAAAGGGGGCCACAGAACAGCCGTGGCTGAACCCAATGGGCGCCGTCAACACGGCTTTCTGATTTACGCTTTCCTTCTTTGTGGAGGGAGCTCTCGAGAGGAGAGCCTTCTCTTCTCCAGCGGCTCCAGCCGCAGGCAGGTACTCGCCACAGAGCCCACAGGAGGGGTGTGTGTGCAGGGAGGGGGTACGGTTTCGAGCGGCAGCCAAGGAAGCAATGTCACTGTCTATCTCTACCAGCCCAAAGCCACTCATTGGAGCTCTGGGACCCCCGGCGCGTCCAGACTTTCGGGACGGACCTAGAGATAGGGGGGTGCCGCCCGCAGGTGGGCCGTGATCTTGGTTCCTGGCGAGCCACAGCCTGGCCAAGGGGGGGTGCTTTCGTCCCTGGGCGAGGAGAGGCTGAACAGGATAAAGAGACTCGATGTCCTCTCATCGACGGCATGTCGACTTGCTTGACGTCGGTCGCTGAGATGGCCTGCACGCGTCCCGACGCCTCGCCCCTCTCAATTTCACAGCTGCTCCCGATGCTGTTGGGCTCGAATGTCCTCCCCTATCCCCCTTCTATGCCCTTTCAACTTGGGAAGCCACGCGCCGACATAGTTCACCAGTCGATCGAGTTCTGTGACTTCAGCCACACCCACGCAAGACCCCTTGCCAGTCACCGGGGGATATGAGGCTTCACTGGAACCTCAACGGTGAACCAATGGCAGCGTCTACTGCATCTCGTCGCTTTCCCGATGCGGTAGTGAAGGGACTCGCCACACTGCCGTGAATGTATCGAAACGACAAGGTCGAGACGGTCAGTCAGACTCGAGGCAAAATTCCAGGAGGTTCGTGGTGGCGAAAGTTCCGTCCGTCACAAAGCGGGTAGCAGAGCACCCTGGGTCCTTCAGGGCTCTTACGGCTCCCGATGTGCTGGGATCACGCTCTCTGTTCCCTCGAGCCAGCGATTCCTGGCGGTGGAAGCCGTCAGAAGGCTGGCATGAGGGGGAGAATGCAGGATGTGGCGTCCTGTCCTGGGGCTGCAGGCTTCAGAGCACTTCTCGATCGGCAGTCTCCATCACGCAAAGGAGTACCATGGTTTTCTTCACGACGCCTCCGGAAAAGTCTCGCCTTCGGCCATCGAGTGATGTCTCTCGAATTTGTGAACTTTTCTTCACAACAAGCCTGAGGATGCTATATCGTCGCAAGATCTCCGCCATCCATTACCCGTCTGGGCCTCCATTGGACAATGGACGCTTCAGAGCTCTCGGGAAGAGCAGCGATCATCGCAAGCTCCAGTGAGCTGTCCCAATTGCTGCTGTATCAGGTCGTGGTGGCGAGAGACAATGCTCCAAATGGATGGGATTTGCGATTTTTCTAAGGCGGGGAAACGGGCAATCAGACGTGCCGGCCAAAAGTGCTTGGGATTTATGCGGTCGGGGATTGGACACGAGAGTCCACTGCCAGCTGCTTCACTGGCCATGTCAGTGGCGAAAGAGCATATGTTTTCCCTGGGAGCTGCCTCGCAGTTCCAATTCACAGGGCAAATTGGGCACACTGCATCAGTTTTGAGCCATGTTTGTGAGCACTCAGGGCAACTTGGCGGCCGCTGCTATGGGGTGGGTGTGGGAAGCGATGACGGCATGATTGGCGCCGATCGGCGCCGTCCGCCCATTCTGCGGTTCTTGAACCACGGCCGATGATGGTGATAACGATACGCAATTGAATTAAAGCTGTCCCGTCCCTCCAACATGTCCTCGGAAGTTGAAATGTTATACAGCGGCTGGCAGGCGAGGGATCATGGAATTTTGATTGTGGCCCAGCTACGGTTGTCCAATGTCGAATCAAGCGACCGCACCTTGGCATGGCCGGCGGCGTGGTGGTTCAGTATTCATAGCCCCCTAGCCGTAGGCTTCCTTGAGCTTTAATTCTTAGCATTCGAACATTCAGGTCTTAATAACTCTCTCATCTATTTTTCTCGACTCGTATCCATATCCTCATCAGTGGAGAAGGCATCACCCGCGAACCTGCCGTGAGGAATTACAATGATGCAAAGTTAACTCTGCACGCAATGCGTGCCCGAAAGATTCGAATGCACGTACATGTTCTCGGAAATTCTTCTCCCAAGTTATACCATGCGGATGAGTTATGGTCCATTTACCAAGTCACGCCCAAGTGTCGGGGGACATAGCTCCTGTACAGGCACCCAGCGTTCTGTGGCATGACCCAGCTTGCAGCGGAACGAACCACAAAATAGATCGTCTGGAAGCCTTCTGGTGAGCCTTCGGATCGAGAGTTCAAGAAACTTGGCACATACAATGGCGCTTCTTTGAGGCGACCTCTGAGGGGAAGCAGACAGACAAAAAACCCGACTACACAGACTATGGGCGTGTTTCATGCCAGTGCGATTCAATGATGTGCCCGTAAGTTAAAGACTCAGCCTTCCAATGAGACTGTATGAAGCCAATGTCGGAAGAAGTAGTAGATATCTACCTCGGGGACGTACTCAATGTCTTCACATTTGCGGTGTGACTTGCGGTTGTGAACAGACTTCATGGGAAAAGAAATGGCATGACCGGTTCTGCCGACTATCTTGTCAAGAACCATATCTTTAGGGTTTCAAAAAGTTTCATCGTGCTCGTCATTGTATTGATAGGCTAGAGCTCTGCTTCCAGCTCTCTGCTACCTTCCAGAGCGCGGGAGAGAGGCATCGCACGAGCGGGTTAGCTGCACGTGCCGACGAGCATGTGGCATTGTTGTTGAAAAATATGCTGAAATGAAAGGTTATCTATTCGCTACTTCATTTGGTTGCGCTTTTGGAAAAGTCTTTCACATGGAGGGCAAGTGAACAAAACTGGCCATAAGCATCCACCGATGTCCTCAAGCACTGATTGTGAAGATCTCACGAAACTTAAATCATGGTAAGACTGCCAACAGCCTCATTGGCAATGGGAAACGCTCGGATTATTCAGATCATAAAATCCGTACATATTCTTCAAAAAAAAAAAACATTAGTCTCCGATTGAACCGGTTTTTGGGGAAGCCGCCAGTAACCTCCAAGTGACGGTTGGAGACTGATCGTGGCCGTCTCCTGAATGGAGGGATGCTCGTGTGCGACCGCAACCAGCAGCATCGTCACGGAAAAGACAGATTGGGATTGCGAGCGACGGGAAGAAGTCGGGAAACTGGGTCATCGATGTTGTGGACTACCTGTCTACGGTAGATAATTCATGTCCTAAGAAGTATTCGGCCACTGCCACCTAGCCGGTTTGATGCTGCATTCTCGACAGCACTGCGAGTTGGGCGGTTCATGTAGCTTCCTCAAGAAGAAGAGAGGTTTGGATTTTCTTTCAGATGACGATAGATTTGGGGGGTGTAATTTCAATTCCAGCATGGTAACATGAGTTATTGCGGTGCGGTGGGCAATTCATGATGGCCTGCACTTAACTTGCGGGCCTGCCGTACGCAGCAGACGAACGACTAAGTGAAGCCCATTCTGTGGTCATTGTGTCTGCAGATTGAGTTGAGTCAGCAACTGGAGAAACAAGTGGCTTGCTCCTGTGGCTTGAAGGTATGGCTTGATCAGCACGTGACTCGGTGGGGGCAGTTCGCCAATTGCAGCATGGACCGTGCGTCGCGTGCAGCTTTTGGAGCTCCAGGAAAAAACTTCCCAGTCAGTGGGGGAAAATTCAGAAAAATCGACATCGTCGGCGCCCCCAAGTCCAAAGGTCGAGATCGGAACACAACGAATCCGCCAATCCACCACCTACAGCGCGAAGTCCGTCACAATCACAATGGCGAGCGTCAACTACGTGCTTTACGAAGCCCCTATGGGCTATGGTGTCTTCCAGGTCGAGCACCAGGCTGACAGCATTGGTCTTCGCTCCAAGGAGACCCAGGAGGCCATCAACGACCTGTCGCGCTTCGGCAAGATGATCAAGCTCCTCAACTTCACCCCCTTCCAGTAAGAGACGCTCCAAGGATCAATGCGCACCGCTGCATGCCATTGAGCACGCGGCAAGTGCGTTGGCGGAGAACTACAAGTCGGCTAACCCAGCGGAACAGCACTGGTAAGGAAGCGCTCAGCGAGATCAACATGATCTCTGAGGGTGTCATGTCCGACAACCTCAAGTCGATCCTCGAGCTCAACCTCCCCAAGACCAGCGGCAAGAAGAGCAAGGTCGTCCTGGCCGTCGCCGAGAAGAACCTCGCCAGCAGCATCAAGTCTTCTTTCACTGGTGTCGATTGCGAGACGGGCGAGACCTCTGAGGTCGCCGCCGACTTCCTCCGTGGTGTCCGCCTCCACGCCGATAAGCTCCTGAAGGGCCTGCAGACCGGTGAGACAGCACAGGCTGGTCTTGGTCTCGGCCACGCCTACTCCCGTAGCAAGGTTAAGTTCAACACCACCAAGAACGACAACCACATCATCCAGGCCAGCGCCACCATCGACTTCCAGGACAAGGGCGTCAACCAGTTCTTCATGCGTGTGCGCGAATGGTACGGCTGGCACTTCCCCGAGCTCATCAAGATCGTCTCCGACAACCTGACCTACGCCCGCCTGGTCATTGCCATTGGCGACAAGAGCACCCTCACCAACGATAGGCTGCACGACATCGCCGCTCTCGTCGAGGAGGATGGCGAGAAGGCCCAGGCAATCATTGATGCTGCCAAGGTTTCCATGGGTCTCCAGATCACCGCCCAGGATCTCGAGATTGTCAAGGGCTTCGCCCAGGCCGTCGTTCAGCAGGCCGAGGCGAGGCGTTCCACCTCCAGCTACCTCGAGAAGAAGATGGGTATCGTCGCCCCCAACCTGCAGTGCCTCATTGGCACTCCCGTCGCCGCCCGCCTCATCTCTCACGCCGGCTCCCTCACCAGCTTGTCCAAGTACCCTGCCTCTACCCTCCAGATTCTCGGTGCCGAGAAGGCCCTCTTCCGTGCCCTCAAGACCAAGAGCAACACCCCCAAGTACGGTCTCATCTACCACAGCAGCTTCATCGGCAAGGCCGGTGTCCGCAACAAGGGCCGCATCTCCAGGTATCTCGCCAACAAGTGCTCCATCGCGAGCCGTATCGACAACTTCTCCGAGGAGCCTTCAGTCAAGTTCGGCCAGGTCCTGCGCCAGCAGGTCGAGGACCGTCTGGAGTTCTACGCCTCCGGCAAGAAGCCTGCCAAGAACGCCGATGTCATGGTACGTACATGTGCCCTGCTTTTGTCATCGGTACACATTGCTAACTATTTCCAAGGCCTCTGTCCTGGACATTGTTGAGGGCGACGACATGCAGCTCGATGAGTCCATGATGGCCGCTCCCGTGGCTGACGAGGTCGAGAAGGACAAGAAGAAGTCTAAGAAGGAGAAGAAGGACAAGTCTGACAAGAAGGAGAAGAAGCGCAAGCGCGAGTCCGAGGTCGGTGCCGCTGAGCCCGCGCCGGTCGAGGACGGCGAGAAGAAGAAGAAGAAGAAGAAATCCAAGCACGATGATTAGGAAGGCATCAGCTGCTGAAAACGGGCGGACTTGCTCTTTTTCTTCTTTTTGGCGCCGCTGGGGAGTTTGCTGTTACGGACCTGCAGGGTAAACGGTCCGGCGGCTCTCTACTCCATTCGGCTTGTCTGTCTGTTGTCTGGATCCTGGAGTTCAAATGGTTTTTCGGCATGGGAGTTTGAGGGCAATGTTTGCATTGTGTCGTGTATGTACAGTCTGACGAAGGTTCATACCATATCAACGAGTTCAGAAACTTCGGTCGCGCCCCTCTCTTCGTTCGTGTGCTCTGTGTACAGTGATTTGATTTGCACCATTCGAGAGCTGGAAAATCGCAGTAAAGAACATACATACAGGGCCCTGCGCGACACGCAGTCGCGATGCAAGTTGCTAATACCAAGGCACCTCCCGCAGACAAGTAACGCCCCAAGACGCCGTCCTCTGCCCATATGCTGACACCATCTCAACGCGACTTGTGATGATGACCTACCTAGACTGAAATCAAAGTGTCTCGCACTAGCGGGCCCAATCAGGTTTGTCGTGAAAGCTTGAGATGCTCGTATTTCATGTGGTCAAAACCACAGCTGGCCCGACCCTCGATGAGCTGCGTGCCACATCATGCGCCCTCGCTTCCTAGCTCCTGCGTCCATTTCGTATGCGCAACAACATCTGTCATAGAGACGGTTGGTGGCGTCTCTTTCAGGGCATTCTTGAAGTCCTTAACATCCACTGATGGCGCCTCAAGCTCCTCCGACTGTACGTCATGCCAGCTCATCTCCTTCGCCGCTGGGTCTCCGGGTGAACATGGTGTCAGTTTCCTTACACCGTTGACCATGATCTGGATGGGTGTTAGTATATAATGATTATCGGTTGCGCTTCGTCTAAACATACCTCCTTGTAGTGCGTCGCCTGCACAATCTTCGCCACTGGTCTCATCAACGCATGCTGTACCACGTTCGCAATGTCACTGCCCGAGTATCCCTCACTCGACTTGGCCAACTCATTGTAGTCATTTGCCGTCAAGTCTGTTTCTGTATCGCCAACTGAAATTTTGAACATGCTCGCGCGGCCTGGTGCGTCGGGAAGACCGATGTGAATACGTCGCTGGAATCGTCGTCGAATAGCAGAGTCGAGCTGCCAGGGAATGTTGGTCGCGCCTAGGACTAGAACACCCTTGCTGTCCTTACCGACGCCGTCCATTTGGACGAGCAGCTCTGTCTTGATACGCCTCGATGCCTCGGAATCGCCTTCGCCACGAGGCGAGCAGAGGGCGTCGATTTCGTCAATGAAGATGACGGCCGGCTTGTTCTCGCGAGCCATGGCGAAGAGGGTCTTGACAAGCCTGGCAACTTGATTAGCATCGTTGCTCACACGTGGTCATGGATGACCTACCGTTCACTCTCGCCCATCCATTTACTGATGAGATCAGAACTGCTGACACTGAAGAAGGTGCTGTTCGCCTCCGTCGCAACCGCCTTGGCCAAATAACTCTTACCGGTTCCTGGTGGCCCATATAGCAGGATACCTTTCCACGGCTGCCTCTTGCCCTGGAACAAACTGGGGAAGCGGATCGGTATGACAACGGCCTCCTTGAGAGTCTCTTTCGCTGCCTCCAGGCCGGCGACATCCTCCCAGCGCACGTTGGGGCGCTCTTGGAGGATGGCGCCGCTCAACGCGTTCTTCAGCTTCTTGTCCTCGCCATCCTCGCCGTCCTTGTCCTCCTTGCCCTTGCCATTGGCGCCAACGGCGCCTTTGCCCCCTGATGCTTTTTTGGCTTCTGCTTCGTTGAGGTGATTTTTCAGCTTTTCGGCGCGGTCCATGTACTCGGCGGTCTTGGCACGGATGAGGTCCTTGGACTTTGCATTCTTCTCGTACTTGATGGCGAGGACGAAGACCTCAAGGGACTGCTTGTAGAGGTTGAAGGCCTTCTCGTACTCGCCCGCATTGTCAGCCTCAATGGCCTGCTTGACGGTATTGACAGCGCGGCCAAGAAAGTCGACGTTGTTCGACATCGTGCGTTCGTGGGGGGTGTGGTGTGGGCGTGTTGAGGGGTCGTCGTGTCGATATGAGGGGGAGGTCTAGCGCGGGGAAGTCGATCACGCACAGCTGCCCGGCGGTTTGTCGCTCAGCGTAGGCGTCGTTTTCGGCGAGAAATGAGGATGCGTAGCAGGTTCACCGAAAGACCGATTCCCTCCGTAGGCTTCAATCCGAATAGGCTCGAGGCAGCGCAAGACAGACCAGAGCGAAAGATGGGGGAAGGGCCGAGGTGGGGGTGTGCTGCCTGTTGGGCAAAAGAGGCAGAAGCAAGGCGGGATGGGGATCGTCGATGCCTGTGAGTGACGTTCGTTGCCTGGACAAACCAATGGGCCCAGTCCAGATTCGCGGGGGAAATACATGCATGTATGCCATAATCGCTTACACGGGATTATGCTATCACTGAGTAAGCCTCATTGAGCACATTTTGTATTCCTTGGCCTCCCTGAGGAAGAACGCAATTTTTCAAGAAAAAGTAGTAGGATCGCCTAGATAATTCTATCCTTTTCTTTGTTGCAATAGGTGGTAGGTTCTGGCTGTACACGGTGTAATTTAAATCTACCATTAAGGTGAGGTAACGATTTTCGGGGGACTTGCTCTTAGGCGGTTTGGTGGGGCAATCCCTCTGCTGGCGAGAAGCCGCCATGAACACAAGAGTCAGTCAGGCTTGGTCGCTCTGATCTCACCTAACAACTCCAGAAGTGAAGTATCAAGCCGAATCAAATTCGGGAGCCGATTTCAGATCCAACACATCATCTGGGAAGTACTTTCAGGCCCAATATCTGGTTATCACAATATTCTTCTCCTCATCTGTGAGATTTTCTCACTCTCCCCTCATAATGGCTCAGGCTCGACTGCAAGCCTTGTCGGAGGAGTTCCAGAAACTCCAAGCTGGCAAGTGACGCATTTATCCTTCATGAAAACACCGCTGACTGACTGAGAGACAGAGCTGCAGACGTCAGTATCTGCCCGCCAGAAGCTCGAGGCCCAAAAGCAGGAAAACCTCGGCGTGCAACAGGTAGGGTCGCCAAAGTACGCATGCACAGCTCGATAATAACTCGGCGTTAGGAGTTCGACGGGCTCAAGGAGGGCGAGCGGATATATAAGCTCGTCGGACCCATTCTGTTACAGCAGGATAAGTTTGAGGCGGAAGGCACAGTGAAGGGCCGCCTGGATTTCATTGATAAGGAGATGTTAGTGCCCTCACGGAACAGTTGCGTGTCGATGATCTAATGAGCAAGTAACAGTGACAGGCACGAAACCTCCATCAAGGACATTCAGAGCAAACTGGATAAGAAGAAGGGTGAAATCATTCAAATACAGGCGAGCGCCCAAGGCCAACAGCAACAAGCAAACGCGGCGGCGTGAGGTCGGCGATGAGCCGACGTCAAAGAAGAGCATGACTAGTTGGTTGTATTACAGCTCGCATTAGGACAAATTCTATACCCAGTGTCCCCCAAGCGCCATGGTCGTGCCCCCCCTTTCGTACTACAGCATGTCTCGTTAACACCGTCAAGTCCTCCGTCTCAGTTCAACGCGAGGATCGTGAAACCCCAAGGCAGTCCCATGTTCCTCGAGGGCAATTCGGATGCCCACTCAATCGCAGCCTGATCATCCTCTCCGAGACCAAGGCTCGCCGTGTCGGGGCCATCTTCAACAGCCTGGCAGATCACGTCTGCAAGCTGGCTCTTTGCGTAGCAGCGTGAGAAAACCTTGCTCTCTTCAATCTTCGCAGTGATCCTTCTGCACTGATCACTCTTGGCGAAATGCTGTACTTGATGATCGAAGACCTCCTGTGTGATCTCACCACGGCATGCAGACAGGTGCTCAAAGACGGCAACGACACCGGCGACGGCCCTGGCGAGCAGGCGCGCCTTGGCCGGACCGTTTAGAGAGTCGTCCAGAACATCGAGGTTTTCGGAGTGGCGGTCCAAGAAAGCTTGAGCCTCACGGTCAAAGGTGGTGTTCAGTATGCTCTTGAGACCAGCCTGACAAGCAAGGACACCATGGGAGTCTTGGAGGTTATATGTTTGGTTGATGTGGGAGTATGACCGGAGAAGTGTCTTCCACAAGGACGGCGATGTGATGGCGGCTTGGCCCATGCTTACTGTGAAGTAAGGCATGACGCTCTCCACGCTGTCTGCATGATAATTAGCTTCGCCAGACGAGAGATCGATCGGGCACCGTACTTCGACATGTTTGCGACATCATCCTGAAAAAAATGCGATGGGATTGGAATGCAGCTGCTGAGCGAGATTTGAACAAAGGATGGAGATCAATGGAGAAGGAGGGCTGTACATTGAGCAGCGGTGGGAGCGTATGTCCAGAACCTTTTAATATTTTCTGCCGGCAGGCATGGCGTTGAGGCCTTGCGGCCTCATCAGGAGATTGCCTGTATTCAGGGATGGTGGCAAGACCAGCAATGACACGTAGGTGGCCATGGCTTCCTCCCGCCATGCAGGAATAACGCCGTGATTGCCCAACGCAGCTCACATTCAACGGGGGTGTTTGATCACTCATGCATGACAGCTTCCGTCACATCCCTTCGAAGCGCACGATATACTGTAAATGAAGGTGACGTCCCTAACAAGACCGCGTGGCATGCTGCAGATGCAACTGAATCAAGACAGAAGATCCTCTTTTCACAGCAATGTGGTGGTTGGGTGACCGGCAGAGCGGTTGCAATGTTGTCCATGGGCGAGAGGAAGGGCGGACCGTCCCCCGATTGATGGAATCCATCGTTCCGGGTTCTCCCGGTAGGCGGCTGGTACGAGTCGGGTTGTAAACAGACCACTCGAGGATTCCGTCGTTGTCAACAGTACCCTCCGCAGAGCCAAGCCTCAAAGTGACTGGTGAATGGAATCAGAAGGGCGGTCTTATTATCTGGTGATGAACGGACGCTTCTCGGACATGATACAAGCGGCTCTTCCCGCAGTTCATTCAAGTCACCAAGGAAAATAAGATGTCATGGCAGCCAATGGAAGTGTACCTTAGCTTCGCAGCCAAAGTCACGTGCTGCTTCTTGTCATGTGACTGCCCCGCGATCGCGGGGTCATGTCTGAGGTGGAGACCAGGACCCAAGGGTGTTGGAGCTGTGTGCATGGCGCATTGAGCTTCGTCATATTCGCCAGGCTTCCATTTCCTGATATGTACCCTGCCAAACTTTGCCTCACCAATCCATCCCGCATCTTCGGATCCCTAGTAAGAAGGCGGGTACGACGCTCACCGTTTCCGTTTATCCACATGACTCTTAACTACCATGTTCCAAGTTTCTCGAGATACAACATTCTAGATCTGTTCCCGAGTGCACTTCCTAGATCTTCGCCAACAAACCAACAGCGCGCGTCGAAGTTGTGTCCTAATACCAGCCATGAACGGGACACCAGCACCGCGGCCTTCGCGGCCGACCAACACGAAGGAGCTTGCCGCAATGGGCGACAACTTCGAATTCCAACCTACAGTTCCCTTCAAGCACTGGGCTCGTTCAGCTGACGTCCTGTATCAAGAGGTTCGTCTTTCGTCATCAGTTCCGAAGATCGCGTAGCTCATCTTATCCAGGCAGGATTCGCCATGCAGGACCACGACTACAGGAAAGCATACGTCATGCTCTGGCGACACTCATCGCTTGTGCTGAAACACCTCGACACGCACCCTGACGCCAAACTTCCGGAAAACAAGGCCTTCACGAAGGCCTTACGGAAGCGGCAGGCGAATGAGGTCTTCAGGCGTCTCGAACAACTCAAACCCCTCATCGACAGTGAATACGACGAGTGGGCGCGGATGACCGCTGCGTCTAAGAAGGCCGACATCGAGCAAGAAGTCTCGAAACCCACGACCTACAATGATTTTGCAGCTCGTGACCCCTCTCTTGGTGGGAGAGCAAGAGTTCTGGACGCAGGCGACAACCAGGACTTCGCGGTCGACTTGGCGCAACGAGATTTCGTCCGGCGGGACACAATAAAGAGGGGAATCCGTCGTGCTGGTGTTTCGGTGGAGCAGGAGCAAGAGCGCCGGAGAGGTGGTGCATGGGATGACTGGCAAGGCGGACAGCCGGATACCACGAACGACGCCGAAGAATTGAGAAGACAAATGGAAGCCACTCGACAAAGGCTTGATGACAATCAGGGCGGGTACCAGAGAGTCGAAGACGCTTTCAGCCACACAGGCGTCTCACGACCACATCCACCATCGCCTCCTCCCAAAATACCGACCCAGCCGTACCACTACCCTTCCGTGTCGAAACCGAAGCCAGTGCACTGGGATTCTGCCCCACTGGAGCCTCGAAGGCCGGATGTCGCGGCACCATCAAAGCCTCCAAAAGAATTGGACATTCCGCCCTACAAACACGACGTTGTGCCGCCCTCTAGGCCGCTCAAGGAGTCTCTCCCGACGTACAAACGACTCCCTACACCTGAACCAGCAGCAGCAGCTGCCCCCACTCGGCCTCCAAAGGAACAGGAGGTGGAGGCACCGGCCAAAGAGCAGCGCGTTGCATTCCGCCCTGCCGCGTACTTGGAGAATGGGGATCCTATCCGGCCCGTTTTCATTCCCAGCGAACTGCGTCATAAGTTCCTTGAGATTGCTTCAGGAAACACGCGCAAGGGCTTAGAGATGTGTGGCATTCTGTGCGGAAGGCCGATTAATAACGCACTTTTCATCAGCTGTCTCCTTATCCCCGAGCAGAAATGCACATCGGACACTTGCGAGACGGAGAATGAGTCTGCGCAACTCGAGTATTGTATCAACGAGGATCTCTTAGTTCTCGGCTGGATTCATACACACCCAACACAGACCTGCTTCATGAGTTCGCGTGATCTCCACACACAGGCGGGGTACCAGATCATGATGCCTGAGAGTATTGCGATCGTCTGTGCCCCGCAACACCAGCCGTCGTAAGTTTGCCTCTCTCTGATCTTACATCATGTATGCTAACGTTGCTCCAGGCACGGCATCTTCCGCCTGACGAATCCGCCTGGCCTCCCGCATATTCTCAATTGCAACCAGGCGGCGATGTTCCACCAACATCACATTGACAACATTTACACTAAGGCCAGCAACCCTCCTGGACACGTGTTTCAGTCAGACAAGCTGCATTGGTACGTCAAGGACTTGCGACCCAAAAATTAGGATTCGAGAGGAGAACAGGTCCCGACGCAGCTGCGTCGCTCAAAGAGGATCGAGATAAGCTCCCGCAGCAGGAAGCTTAGTCCCCCGTTGCTAAGAAGGAGCGCTCGGGTCAAATCAAGGACGGAATCTCCAAACCAGGCACGAACACCGATCTCGAAATCACACCCATCCAAATCGGAGCGAGCTGCCAAGCGGGCCAGAAGCATGGCTGAAGAAAAGCAGCGGCTGACGCTCCCACACATATCGTCATATCATGCGAATAGGAGCCAAACCCGCGAGGCTATGAGATGACGAGCATGATTTTATGAGCGCAAAAAATGGAAGAGGAAACTGTTATGCATGGCGAGGCGTCCGGACGAGTGTTCACGTGATGCATTTTTTGCACGTATAGCGAAGCAAGGGGTAATTCATACGATTCACGGCACTCCATTATAGCAATACCATGACTATTAGCACTCTCCAGCAACGCCAGCTGTTTGACCGGTCCCAGCAATGACATCAAGCGTCTACATTGGTATACGTTTCGACATGGTCCGTCTCAGTGACCCCCTTCTCTGTGCCAACCGCGGTGCGGAAGAGGCAATAACAAACCTGCCCGCTTTAATTATTGCTTTGCATATTGGCGAAGATGTCAATCCTGGTAGTAAGCAGTCGCACTGCCCTTCCGTCGGGTTGAGTATGATGGGGATCATCTCGAGAGTTGCAAGGACTGTACTCGAGGTTGTCGAATATTTGGGGAGGGGAATAACTAATAGAGTCGTCAGCGTTCAACGAGCGCTCAGGACCCTGGCAATCAGTAGATAGGCCCGGCCTTCACCCGACAGCTCAACGTCGGCGAGACTGCCTTAGCGACTGTTATGAGAAGTAGACGACATGTCCCGAAGAGTGGACACAGCCATGGCCCTCGTGAAATGCGACGGATCGAAGGAGCTGCAAGGCAACCAGTGACAGTGGAATTCTTGATAGGATCTGTGCATACCTGGTGCCGATGATAACTTCCTGAACTCCACCTCCCCGAGTTTGGTCGGCCTGCTGGTCAGCTTCCTACTCGCTTGCAACTACCATCGCTAATGGCATCGTGACAAGTCGAAGAGGTTTATGCGCATTGAAAAGTAGGGCAGCAATTTAAGCAGTATTCTACCGAGTTCGAGAGTGTTCTCGAGACCACCAAAAGCTTCCAAGGTGTGCAGATGATTGCAATGCCGTACGAGGAACGCTTTCACTTATTGGAGGCGCAGTCCTATATTTCATCATTTCATCATCTGTATATCCCGCTGTGTAGGCTCTCCAACAAGCTGCCTTCATAATTATGGAAAGTAGCTTGCATGTATTTCATGAAGCCTGACTCCTTCCAGGAGAAGTGCTTCACGTCAAGGGGGTCAGAAGCTCACAATCCTGTGGCTGGGGAGCTGGAGTGACAAGTTCCGCCTGACTGAGGATAAAAAGTGTAACAGCCTTGATTGCTCCTAGTTTCTCATAGATCCTGCACTCTATTCCTAGAATACTCAAGCCGAACAACAGGCCTCTCTCCGAATTGGTACCAAACACCATGACCAACGTCAGCGGCCCACTCAACCCATCTTTTTGTCTTGCGCCCTGCAATAGCCACTGGCCACTGCCTCTAAATGTGAACCAGACCGGATTGTCGAGGAAATAGTCATGCCCACTTCTTTAAATCACACCATCGAACCCCTTCGTAACGCAAGTTTTCCGAGCATAATTCTTCGGCAGTGAATCCCCTATTTCAGAAAGACTCACCCTAACCTCGTTCGGCCCTGCAACCGACAGCCGAACCCCCCACTGACATCCGTCTGCTCACGTGGAGACAGGGGAGATGCTGGTTCGGGGATCGGGCTCGGGGCCAAGATGGGATGGATGCGTCACTGGACAGTTGGTTGCTGTCGGCGACAGAGCACGTCACTTCGAGAATCGGTATAGAGTCCTGTGCGAGAGAATATAAGGTCTTCCGACAATGCATTCATTGGCCTTTAGTGTGCAGAGTTGGTTCGCGGCCATCGTCTACAGCATCTTGACGGCACGATATCTTACCATGTTTCGTTGTGCCCTCACATCGCTTGCCTTGCTGGGGTCTGCGACTGGCTCCACCGTTGATTTCAGAAGGACATCCAACGGAAGTTTATCCTACAAAGACCCATCACTTACGCCAAAGGAGCGAGCACAAGATCTGCTCGAACGGATGACATGGGCAGAAAAAGTTGGTCAATTGGGTGGTATCCGCAGGGCCGTAAGCAGAACGAATGGCAAACCCGTATTCAATGAAACGTCCTTCAACGCGATAAGAAAGACACAAAACGGGCAACTCGGTAAGGAGGCCCCAGCGAGTATCTCACAAAAACAATGTTCGCAAATCAACAGTACAGGCTCTGACACCAAATAGGCCTCGGATTGCAGTTCAACTACGTCAATGACGTCCTCCCGGTAATCAATGACCTCCGCGCTCAACAGGTGGGTGAATCGCGTCTCGGCATCCCATACATCACGATTGCCGACTCTGTGAATGGCATATGGATTTCAGGCGGCACCCTCTTTCCCGGCACAGTTTCTATGAGCTCGTCTTGGAACCTGCCTCTCTTCGAGCAGGTCGTGGCCGTTATTCGTGAGGAGAACCTCGCCATCGGCGTGCAGTGGGTTCTCTCACCCGAGGTTGACCTAGCCAAGGACCCTAGAAATGGGCGAAATGGTGAGATGTACGGCGAGGATGGCTATCTTGTGGGCGAATTTGCCACCAAATACATCCAGACAATGCAGGAGAAAGACGAGAATGGATGGGTCAAGGTCGCGACGACAATCAAGCACTGGGTTTACGGATCAGGGAGCGGTGGTGTCAACCGCGCCAGCATGCAGGGTGGGATCAACCACATTCTGAACGACCTCGCTCCGCCATACGTCAAGGCAATCCGGGACGCCAAACCACTGGCTCTCATGGCGTCCTACTCAAGTGTGGATCGTATCCCGTTGTCGATCAACAAATATCTTCTACAGACTGTTCTCCGTGGCATCCTAGGTTTCAAGGGACTCATCATGTCGGACGCCAACGCAATCGATTATCTCACCACAGAATCCAAGGTAGCGAGCTCACGATCCGGCGCAGCTCTGAAAGCTCTGCGTGCTGGACTGGAGCATGAGCTCCACCCAGGAGGTAATGGTCTATTCACAGAGCTCATCAACCAAGCCAACGAAACGGATGTTGTAGCTCTCGTTGACACAGCTGTGCTCGCTCTGCTGGAGATCAAATTTACGACGGGCAGCTTCGACCGCCCATTTCCAACCCTCGAGCAAGCCAACAAGACGCTACGAAGCAAGGAGCACCTTGATGTCAACCGCAACATCACGCGGGAATCCATCGTATTGCTGAAGAATGATGGAATTTTGCCCCTGAAGCGGAGCGAGGTCGGTTCCATTGCTGTCATTGGGCCGTACGCTGACATTGTCAACGCCGGCATGTACGCAGCATGCAATGCCACGGATCCCGCGTACGGCGCTTCGTTCCACCGCAGCCTCGAGCGCGAGATTGGTGCTGAGAACGTTCGTTTTGTCCAGGGAACCAGCATCCTCCCCTCAAACGATACAAGCACCAAAGGCATTGTAGACGCAGCAGCGGCCGCCCAAGAGGCCGGCTTTGCTGTCGTTGTGCTCGGTTCCGGCTTGGGAACATTTGATCCTGCAACATTCAACAACGAGCGTACCGACGGCGAGGGCTATGCCCATGCAGACCTCGGATTTCCGGGGCAGCAACAACAGCTCCTCGACGCGGTTCTCAACACCGGAGTGCCAACCATTCTCGTTCTCAGTTCGGGACAGACTTTCTTACTGAGTGAATCGACACAGCGGTCGGGTGCGATCATGCACAGTTGGCTGAGCGGAGAGTTCACCGGCGACGCCCTCGTCGAGATCCTCTTTGGCGAAACGAACCCCAGCGGCAAGCTGACGGTCACGGTGCCGCAAGCCAACGGCGCCTTCCCCGTGGCGTACGACTATCTCCCGTCGGATGATGTGGGAGGTTTCGGCTCGGCGACGCTATATGACTGGCACTGGCCGCAGTCGACGCGCTACTCGCCGCTTCGGTTCGGGTTCGGCTTGAGCTACACAACGTTTGCCTTCGGAGAAGCCGAGGCACATAGCAGCGCGGCGACGAGAAGCTACAGTGCAACCTCGGTTGTTGTGACCACATCGCTGACGAACACGGGCGACCGAACTGGAAAGGAGGTCGTGCAGTTGTATTATCGCCCCAAGTTCAGCGTCATTGAGTTCCCGGTCATGAAGCTCATCCGGTTCACCAAGATTGAACTTCGTGCAGGTGAGTCAAAAGACGTCAGGTTCGAGGTGCCGAAGAGCGAGCTCGGGTATTTTGTCAACGGGGAGTGGCACGTTGACGATGGCGGCTACTCATTCTGGATTGGCAACAGTTCGCGGAAGGAAGATCTGGAGCTCATTGAGGTGACAGTCTAGGCGTCAAGCAAGAGCAAGAGGCCAGAGAGAATTTGTGACTAGTATATCAATTCCAAGTCCTGCCGTCCATGATCGGTATTTGGTTATCATTATCATTATGCAAACAGCGCCGACGAGTTTCATTATCATCAAGTCGCTCGACCAGACAGCCAGTCCCAGTCCTGTGGACCAAACCACGAAAGAAGCGGTGTGGTCATCTGCTCAATGCTGGGAGAGCTTTGCGACCCAGTCCTGGCTTGCCAATCAGGAACTTCGATTGCCGTGTTTTCGTTATGAGTATGACGGACTTGGCTATCAGAGGCAAGAGAAGCAGCGCTCATATGCCCGGACGCACGCGTGTTGCATCTGTGGTCATCTTGGTTCACAAAACCGCCACCCCTTTCAAGCCCCTGAGCTGAGGCTTGCTCGATGAATCCTGGCTCTCGATCGTGTTCCTCGTCATCATCGCCATCAGAGAACTCAGCCTGGCGGAGCAGACTATGTATGGCAAGTCTCTGCCGAGCGCGGGCAGCAGCTGAGAGTTGAGATTCTAAATCCCGATGACGTGTGGGCTCTTTGGTGGGGTCGAGTTTGAACGACGCCAAGTCGTCCTCTTGCTGAGAGAAGACGCCAATGCACCGCTGTAATTCTTCAATGATGGGTGCAACAAGTGCCGAGCTCGGGAAGAACCGCTTCAACGCCGTGAGACAAAGATCGGCTCGGCTGGCTGCAAACTCTGGCGCAGGCCGGTCAGGGTCTCTGCCAAATCGGGAAATGAAGAGCACTAGGCGAGCGGCATGGTAGGCGCAGATGGCAGTGTCAAACTCGAGACATTGGCGTTGTGTGCTTTGTTGGTTTAGATTTGTCAAAATTTGTATAATGGAGGTGGCATGGTCGAGGCATTGGCGCTCACCAGCAGCAAGGTCTGCCGGGTCTACTGCTTCAAGTACAATAGGAGGTGCTGCCTCTGGGTATCCGGAAAGCAGGATTCGATTGAGATCGCAGTGTGCCTGGTGCCAAGATATGTGCATCAGGACACGCCGTGGCAGCCAAGGACTCCCTAGAAGGCCGAGCGTTTGAGTTTCAGTCAAATGCGTCCCTTCTGGCATAACCGTGCCAATGTCGGAGAGGGACTGCTGATGATGTCGGATTAGCTTAATCAAAGAAGGCAGCGGCTCGTCTAAGGGGGCAACGCTGCGGTTCAACTTCATTACGTCTCGTCGAATGGTTTCGAGTCTGATCAAGAGACGATACGTGCCATTCTCGCCTCGACTCGTTACCTCGAACTGTTCCTCTGGGCTGGGAAATTCAAGGTAAATGGATTCGATGGGACAGAGCTCGAACTCGGGGAGGCCGATAGAGAAGTATCGCTCCATGATTTTGAGAGACCAGACAATCCGGCGACGGACCTCACGACTGATCGGGTCCAGGTCTGGGCGCTCATAGTTGAGCCGCATGGCCGTGGCAAAGCGAGCTGCCGTAGCCGTCAGCATGAAGGCTCGCTGGAATGCCCCAGTCTCCATACGAAAGTGTATGATGAGGAGCAGCGTCTGCAGTCGAGGGATAGTCGGAGAGCCGAGATGAAGCCAGATGCTCTGCTCAGCACCTTGGATCCAGCGAGATGCGAGTTGCCTGTCCCGTCCCATGTGCAGGGCGGCAATGGCGCAGACTGCCGAAGCAAGGGCCCGATGTACTTGAGCGTCCCTGCACCTTCGCTTTGTCGTCTCGGGGTGTAGGAAGGCGTAGGATGGCAGAGGGTATATGTTCTCAAAAAAGGCGTCAACGAGGACCAGCATCTCTTCTGTGATGGGATGGCTCGGACTTGGAACGCCTTGGATGTCTCCATGGCCCACAGGAGATGCCTGGCTCAAAGTAGAGGAGGCGACAGATGGTGTTGCATGAGTTCGCAGGGGGCGCTTCGAGGTTGGATAGGCACAAGAACGACCTTGACGCTTGCAGTTAGAACACTGAGGAGTCGTGGCAGAACACCTGATTTTTTTCTCGCGACACGCAACGCAAGCAACGCTACCACGTAACCTGCGAGGTTTGCTGCGAAGAGCTGTATGATCGAGCCCTTGTGGTGAAGCAGCCAACGAGCAAGCCAATCTGAGGCGCTCGCAATTGGTGCATGTGCCGTTTCGACGATCACATCGTACCTGGTGGAGTCAATAGTCAGAACCTGAAAGGGAGGGCACTTGAAAGGGAGGGCAAGAATAAGTGTTCGGTTCACAAAGCACGTACCTTGCGATACCTGCATTGAGAACAGGTCTCACGAGCAGTGGTCGATGTGCTGGAATCGAAACATCCCACGAGCGACTCCATCACGACACAAGACAGGGTAGGGTATAGGTAGGTGGGCGTGTACCCAGGTATCGTTGAGGGAACAACCCTTGACCACAGATCTAACTTCCCCAAACTGGTTTGAAAGGTGATTTGATGGCAAGCAAATTCAGCTGCATCAGCGAGACATGTCGTATTCGATAAGTAGGTCATTCGGAGGCCCACGCCGTGATGAATGATGAGCACATGGACGGCGTAGAAGAAGCAACTTGCGAGACTGGGGTTGAGAAGGAGCTCAGGGTAAGGTCCCTTGGGAGGCAGGCGGTTTGCAAAAAAAATGAGACGTACTGGATACTTCACCCCAACCCCTCTACCCAAAATGACTGCACAACACTACTACAAGACACCCACTGGTTCTAAATTTATAGTGGCTATTGAATATATAGACCAGTATAATATACCCTATTTAAAAGGGCGGTCTTTTGCTTAGTATGAAGATCTAGAGACGTTGTAGAAATGCAAGGCCGGATAGCTGGGTAGTAGGAGTGGCTATGGGGGAGAGACTTGGTACGTCTCATTTTTTTTGCAAACCGCTTGGGAGGTAGGTACGATTGTCGTGACAGTGGAGGGCAATGTCACCATTTTAGCGTCGTCGCCCTGCATAATCGCACTGTTCTTTGAACTGTATTTGCCTGCCAGAGTCATGGTTCAAGGCGCCACAGTCTCTGCGTTACAGCAACCCAAGTGGCGGCCAAACACAGTGCATTTCTGATCAGATTTCTCCTCACATTTGACAATTGTTGCCAAGCGGTTTCTTTCCCCTCCCAATTCATCTGTCATCTGTCATCTGTTTCCCTCGGTGACGGCCTTTTTCATTGTGATACTTCTTTCCGATATATTCATGGCGTTCCTAAGTGAACTGGATCATCGCCAATTTGCGCCATCTTGAGCTCCAGCAGCTTCGTCATCGCCGTCACTACAGACTGGTATTCTGTCTCGTGGTATACGTTGAAGAGCTCGAGAGGATCTTTCTCGCAGTCGAACAATTCCCACTCCTTCTCGTCTGCCGCTCCTGGCCTCGCGCCGGCAACATCCAGGGGCTCGTTATACCAGTAGATCAGCTTGTATCTCTGGTCTCGCACCCCGTAGTGCGCATACGCCTGGTGGATCACATCATTGTGCATCCAGTAACGGTGATACGCGACCTGCTGCCAATTCGACGGTGTCTGACCTTGCAATAGTGGCCGGAAGGACCGTCCTTGCATGTAGCTCGGCGTTATCAGCTTTGCGAAGTCGAGAAATGTCGGCGCAAAGTCCACATTGCAAATGATGTCGTCGCAAACCGAGCCTCTGGCGATCTCAGTCGGATACCGTATCAAGAACGGCATCTGGAACGACTCTTCGTACATGAATCGTTTGTCGAACCATCCATGTTCTCCCAAGAAAAACCCCTGGTCTGAAGTGTAAATGACCATCGTGTTGTCCGCAAGATTGTTCTCATCCAGGTAGTCGAGGATTCGACCGACGTTATCGTCTACCGACTGGATCACACGCAGATATCTCTGCATGTACCGCTGAAACTTGAATTCAGCGAGCTCTTTGCTGTCTTGGAAGCGGAAGACAGTTCCATCTTCCTTGTCGATAAGGAAACTTGCGTCGGTGGGAATCTTGCGCTGGCTGGAGCCAGACTCTTGAACGACCCTCTCGCCAACGCGATTGCCCCCATCTGGCTGTACGAGGCCGAGGTCCTGGTACGTCAAGTCTTCCGCCACGCGCATCTTGGCCACCTTGGCCGCTTTGGCGCGGTTCTTATAATCGTCATCATACGTCTCCGGCACGCGGATCGGTTTATCGGCATAAAGGCCCTTGTGCTTGTCATCACACTCCCACGACCGATGGGGTGCCTTGTGATGGCACATGACAAAAAAGGGCTTGTCCGTGTCTCTGGTTTGAGTGACCCAGTCGAGGCACTTGTCAGTGATAATATCGGTGACGTACCCAATCTCCGTCCGCTCGCCGCTCGGCTCGATGAACTCGGGGTCCCAATAGTCGCCTTGTCCCGGTAGAATGGACCAGTAATCGAATCCCGTCGGTTCATGAGCGGCGCCCTCGCCCATGTGCCATTTGCCAACCATGGCGGTTCGGTAGCCGCCGGCCCGCAGGTGCTTGGCAACATTAGGCATATGTTTGTTGATTTTGTTGTCCAGGGTCATAACGCCGTTGACATGGTTATGCGTTCCGGTCAGGATGGCGGCCCTCGATGGGGTGCAGATCGAATTGGTGACATAACAGTGGTTGAACTTCATGCCCTCAATCGCCAACCTGTCGATATTGGGCGTTTGGTTGATGCCTGCCCCGTACGCACTGATGGCTTTTGAAGCATGGTCATCAGCCATGATGAAGACAATATTGGGCCGGGAAGCCGCCATGTCGGGCAAGGCGATATCGAAGCTGTAGCCAAAGGAGCACGCAATGGGCAGCAGTTGGAAGAAGAAAGACTTCCTTGTCAATGACCTCAATACACTCATTTATTATGAATGTCTAGGAGATGTCATATTCCATGACTTCTGACTCGAATCCCATCGCCTAGTTGAGTCTTCCGGGCGAGCTGCGATGCACAAGCTAGCATTAGGGGCAAACTGTAGACGCATGCCTAACTTGACAGCCCTACGTGACCGACTACCGGTCCCGACGTCGGTAGTCGGCCCCGCTCTCAGAACAAGTATGGTGTTTTCAACGGCCGGGCCGCTAGGTCTATCTGGGACTCCCGGCCGACACCCGGGTCGCACGCCATGGCGAAACAATTCAGGTCCAGTCAACCACTGCAATCTCTTCAGCAATTCGAGATATGGCGTGCTCATCAACACGCCGGGGAGATGTCAACATGCAAGCCCTGGCCTAAACATTCGGGTTTCCTCGCCCTGGATATGTTGGCCATGACTGTTGAACGCAGGTTTACGGCTTCGAAGGCGACATCAACTGGGATTGGGAGCTTTCGGGCAGACTTCAAAAGGGAAGCCAAGTACGCAGCCAGGGGTGAACATTTACCTCCTGGACTTTAAGAGTCGATTTCGAACACCAAGGCAGCCAACTGTTTGGTCCAAATCGTGATCATAAGCTAGTTAATTTCGCGGCCGCTTCAGCCATCATGTCGACAGCTTTGGGCACTTTCAGAGCCGTCTACCTTGTCGCGCTTTGCTGTGTCGGCTCATTCTTGTTCGCGTACGACACAGGTATCGTCGGTGGCATCCTCACCTTTCCCAGTTTTCGAAGGGACTTTCGTTATGAAGAGAAAGATCGAGCAACCGTCGGGTCTAACTCTACCAGTCTTTTACAAGCTGGAGGTATGTAGAAGCCTTGAAATCATCCCCTGCCAACGTGAGCGGCAGCCCAAGAAGCAAACAAAATTAACAACACGTCTTCAGCTTTTTTCGCTTGCTTTTTCGTCTGGCCTTTCACAGCCCGCTTTGGCCGTCGTTGGTCTATCGTTCTTGCTTCGATAATCTTCAATATCGGCGCCGTCATCCAAACGATCAACACCCACTCGCTGGGAGCATTCTACGCTGCCCGCGTCATCAGCGGCATCGGCGTTGGCATGGCCACGGTCATCATCCCCATGTACTCGGCCGAGATGGCGCCCAAGAACATCCGCGGTACCCTCGGCAGCATGTTTCAATTCTTCTTCACCATGGGTGTCATGACCTCGTACTGGATCGACTACGCCGTCGAAAAGCACATGGACGACGTGACAGCGCAGTGGCAAGTTCCCGTCGGCCTGCAACTCGTTCCAGGCGCCATCCTTGGCCTGGGCATGCTGTTTACCAGAGAAAGCACTCGCTGGCTCGCGAAGAAAGATCGGATGGAGGAGGCCCTGGCATCCTTGGTCTGGGTTCGCGGAGGAGACTCTCCAGACGTCGAGGAGGAGTAAGAAGGGATTTCATGTGCAACATGTGGCGAGGAAGACTAACAATGTACAGATGGGCCGAGATCCTGGCGGGCATTGAAGAGGAAGATCGTGTCAAATCCGGTGTCACTTGGAAAGAGCTTCTGCAACCCATCAACAGATGGCGCGTGATTCTCATCATTGCTCTGCAGATTGGTGGGTCAACCGAGCTGGATCCTTGATCGATTCTGTTTGTTGTTTTATTAACGGCGATGTATAGGCGTTCAGCTGACCGGGAACACATCGATGGCCTATTGTAAGTTTGGCTAGCACTTGCCTTGTCCAATGCATCTCTAACGTGTCCAGACGCACCCCAAATCTTCTCGCTCGTCGGCGCCGGCCAGAACAAGCTGCTTCTTACTGGCTTTTTCGGCGTCTGCAAGGTTGTAGCCTGTCTCTTCTTCCTGTTATTCCTCGTTGAGCGCATCGGTCGCCGCGGCTCACTGATGCTGGGCGCTTTCCTCATGGGCATGTACATGCTCATAGTCGCTGTCCTGACTGTCACGTTCCCACCGAACCCAGACCAAGGCCTGACGCCGCCGTCGATTGCGTCCCTGACAATGATTTACCTCG